ATCCACTCTCTCCCCAACGTTAAATCACCAGTTGTGACGTAAGCAGCATGTTATTTCTCGCCTTGACGTAGGTTGTTTAAACAGCTGATGACTTAGTTATGGCATCGTAAATGGTAGCACACGAGGTCAATAAGCAATCCTGTATGTGTGTATCATCCTTAAGTTCAAACACCCTCTACCAGGTACAACATAAAGCTAGCTGCTGGACCCTCATAGTTACGTCACCACCACAGCATCCTGTTATAAGACACATCAAACTTGACACATGTACTCTAAATGGCGCCACGGACGTGACCCAGGTCGCTATGACGTCATCACAGAACCCGAACCATGAATCGAACTTTGCACTATGTACTCTAAATGGCGCCACGGACCCGCACTGACGTAACCCACGTGACCCAGGTCGCTATGACGTCATCACAGAACCATGAAACGAACTTCGCACTATGTACTCTAAATGGCGCCACGAACGTGCCCCAGGTCGCTATGACGTCATCACAGAGCCTGAACCATAATTAAATATACGTAGCGATTTCGAAACGACTCGGAACAATCCCTTCCACGCAAACTCCATATTACAGGAACCTGTAATTGCAAGAATTCACCGCAATAACCCGGTATGACGTCATCACAGGTGACAGATGACGTTTGACAGGTGACGTTTGACAGATGACGTTTGACAGGTGACTGTTGACATGATGGCGGGAAAACATTTCCCCCCACCCCTTTTTCTGGTACCCATAATAAAATCCGGGGGCCCCTTTTTGGGGGGCGGAGCCCTGCGGGCCCCCTTTTCGGGGGGCGGAGCCCTACGGGTCCCAACTACAGCATCCTGTATTACGAACTTCACACTATGTACGCTAGATGGCGCCATGACGTTTGACAAGATGGCGCCGACGATGCATCCACCTTCGTGTCAACGGCGGCGCATCCACCACGTGTCAAGAATGAAAGATTGAGGTTATGGTCGGATTTTGGTCCTAGAACCCGCTTTGACTATCTACTATAGTCAATCGCCAGCGAGTCGCCGTATTTGGCCCAGCAGTCCCAGCACACGGCGACTCTCTGGCGATTGAGTATGAATACCAGTGTAAGTGTTCTTGATCCTCGATTATCCCAGAATTTGATGGTGGGGGAGTATTACACAATTAACACCACATAACCCAGCATACTCGAGTATGCTTGATTATCCTAGCAAAAAATTGTCTATTGTTGCTATGTCGGTTTGTACCTAAGCTTGCAGCAAAGTGCGCCCTGGAGCAAGGTCATAAGCCGAACGCAAATCGAAGAAAAAAAATCCTGAAACCCTTGTTACAGTTGTCACTAATCTCAAAAAAAATTGCTTTTTTTGCTTTTGCTTCGATTAATTTTGTTTCACTAATAAACGAGTAGATAAATTAGTATGAACCTAAAATGAAAGCTAAAAAATCGGGGAAAAGAAATGGAAACGCAAGGCAAACCGAATTAATTTTTTTTTTAAATATTTCAGGTTATAATTTCAAAAAAATTATACCATATTTTACATTTTTTTGAATAAAGTTTATTATACATTCATATTAATTTTTTACAAAAATCTATATAATGTTATAATTTTTCAAAAGTGACATTTGAAAACTAATTTCTCCGGTTGGAATCCATCCATCCATCCCAGGGAAAAGAGAGCGAACTCAGGGTACGGGCTCGATTGTAACCCGAACGCAAAAGAGAACACTCTGAGAGCTAAAACGAACTGGGTCTTATCGTTTCGAACGCGTTCGGAGTTCACTGAGTGTAAGGCGAGGTGTAAAGCCGAACTCAGCCTAGCAATCGATAAAGTGCTTGCGGTAGTTGCGGTATTGTGCTACGGGTGCTACAGTGCTGCCGGCTGGTATTTGTTCAAAAGTCGAATAGTTCGACCGTCGTTTCGCATTTACATAGCAGACATGCATTTACAGAAATCTTTTTGACATTTTAAAAATTTAGTTTATGTTTAGGAAAAGAGATGGATGACGCGAGCGCTCCTAACGGCGAAAACATTTATGGGCCTTTTTATTTTCGATAAGGTAAGGCATCTTCCCCTGCTTCCTCAATCAACATATTTATCTAGACTAGACGATCGCAGAAGAAAGTTTCGTTTTCTCCAGTGCACCCTTGCCTTGCGCTTTCGAGAGTGAGAGCTTGCTCAGCAAGAGTGAGAGCTTGCTTTTTTTTATAAAATTTAATTACCTCTCTCATTGTTAGAAAAGTGAAAAAGCTATCTTTTATTGAATTAATTCACTCTCTCCCTGCTTATAAGGGCTCAGTTAAAAGACTCAGTAAAAATACTCGCTAAATTCCTGAAGATTTTTATTAAATAAATTGGTAAAAAAAAATCTTTAAGTCACAAGCTTTTATAAAATGCACTAAAAATTAAAAAATAATTTTCCAGCATTCTGATATTATCATAATAATAAAAGCGATGGCCGACTCATCAATTAAATATCACTATTTGTAAGAATCTGTCTAGCAGAAAAATACAAAGGTACCAAACCCACCCAACCCGACCCAGATACCCCAGCATTTCTCTGACATAGGTATGGCAATGGCACAACATGGCGGCACATCAAACATATCTTTGATGACCCGCTATGTTGAATATTCTTTAAGTGTTTAGATCACAAATTTAGATTAACTTATGCTTTGATTTGCGGCCATCGCTTTCATTATTATGATAATATCAGAATGCTGGAAAATTATGTTTTAATTTTTAGTGCATTTTATAAAAGCTTGTGACTTAAAAATTTTTTTTTACCAAATAATTTTCTACTTTTTAGTCTCAGCTATCTACCCTATTAAATGGAAATATTTGTTCAAAAAGTTTATGATATTACATTTTTGAACTCTTAGTGTGTTTGGAAACTCATTTTTCTATTGGGGTGGGGGGGGGGGGGAGGGTGGGGGTAGAGGTAGAATAGTATATTATATACCTAGGTAGAGAAGTTGGTCCTTATATACCGAGCGCTTTTATAAACCGAGGCGCTCGCGCCGAGGTTTATAATGAGTGAGGTATATAATGACTTTCTCTACCGAGGAATATATAGAATTTTTTTTACTACTGCTAGTAGAAAATGAAAAATTTGTTTAAAATCTGTGCTCCAATTATTTTTTTTGAACGCCCTCTTGAAAGTGCTGCCCTCTATCAACAGCTTATGATAACTTCCTATGTACCTACAGAAACCTGTATTTTTTTTCAAATTGACGTATGGAAATGAAATTGAACCAATAGAAACATGACAATATCCTTGCGTCATGACGTCATTTTCATTATTAACCTAGGTATTTTTTCATTATTTTCATTATTCACCTAGGGAGAGAAATTCAATTTTTTCCTAGAAAAATAGATTGAATAATGACAATTTCTCAGGTTAGTAGTAAAAAAATATATTTTTTGTTTGGGCTGTATTGCCATCGGACCTTTATGCATATACCAAATTCTATAAAAGTAATTTTCAGTGAAGTGTGTCAAAAACGCATTTTTCTATGGAAGGGGGTGGGGGTAGGGGTGGGAGGACATTTTTTTCTTATTGTTGTATTGTCATCGGACCACTATGTCTATACCAAATTTCATCCAAATCGGATAATGGGAAGTGTGTCAAAAACACATTTTTCTATGGAAGGGGGTGGGAGTAGGGGTGGGAGGATATTTTTTTCTTAATGTTGTATTGTCATGGGACCACTATGTGTGTACCAAATTTCATCCATATCGAATAATGGGAAGTGTGTCAAAAACGCTTCACAAGTTTTGATAGTTAGATAGTTAGACAGAACATGTGAAGCTAATAGACTGTGAGATAGGGGCTGTTTAGTGGAGTCATTTTTTTTTTGTCTGGCATTTTGAGGGCTGAATGTGGCTAGTTAGCTGATGAGAATATGGGTGATTTTAACTCCTGCCTCCCGTTAGAAAATTTGCAGAAGAAAAAAATTGATTTACCTACCTGAAGATTTTTTTTTAATGATCTCAAATTTTCTGGCTTTTAAATAAAAGATTGACATTGACATAAATAATTCACCCATGAAAAATACCAGATGCGTTTCAATGGGTGAAAAAGTGGGGATGAGTGTCAACTTCCAAGAGAAAAGAAAAGAACCTTCCGCGTTTACTTTTTGTCTGGCAATCGAGAGAATAAAAGGTTTTGTTGTGAAAATAACGCTGAAAAATCGCCAGACAGTAATCACAGTTCGAAATCGAGATTTCCGGCGAAACATTCTATGGACATTTCGAACAGGGGGCAGGCTATAAAACCACTTATATTCTCATCAGCTAACTAGCCACGTTCATCCCTCAAAATGCCAGACAAAAAAAAATGACTCCACTAAACAGGCCCTATCTCAGGGTCTATAAATAAAAGCTTGTAAAAAGAATAGAGTCAACTGGTGAATTGTGAAGTTACTCGATTTTTTACCCTACACTAGTGAAATGAAAATGTGTTAGTGGATTAGGCTAGTACCTAATAACAATATTATCCTGTACTGATTGAATTAGACAAACTTGTTAGATTTTTGATGTTATGCAACAATAGAGAAAATTAAAGGAAAAAGTGTTAAGTGCATTATTTAGCAGTGGCGTCTCCATCCCCTTTATGATCCAGTGATCTACTCTTAAATAATGTTGATATCTCAATCAGAGGTCTAAAGAGTACCTATAGAATGATGTTTGCTGATAAAAGCGGAGGAAAAATCTGTCATCATGAGTCAAAATCGACAGGTTGACTTGCTCGGAGAATCAGTTTTACTTTATGGCACTTAGTGCGGATAAGGCCCTTCTGCGCACGGAGTACCAAAAAGTGTAACTTTGAGCCCCGAAATGCGTGCGGAAAAGTACTACTTTGCACACGGTCGTAGGAAAGAGTTATTCTCCTTACAAGTGCGCAAAGTGTTAAGTGGAGTTCGGATCAGTTTTTGCGTGCGGAAAAGACACTTTGTGCACGTGTTACGAACTAAATTAAGTATGTAGGTATATGACGTTTTTTGCTTATTTTCAGGCTGGTGAAAAATACAGCGTAAAAGCCAAGCCGAAGGCAGCTTCAGCTCCTGCCTCTGCCAATCCGGAGGCGGATTTCGCCAACTCGAAGGCAGTTGCCAAAGCTACGGCGGTTTCAAAGGTGATTCCATCCAAACAGAAGGCGGCTCCTGTTTCACGCTCGGCCCGTGCTGGACTTATGGTAATCTCACGTCACGTTTTAAATCCTGCCATACACGTTTTCATTTATTTTATTTTATTATTCGCGGCCTAGTTTTTGCATTAATTTCCAACACACGATTGAGGTTGTGTTGTTTTTTTTAGTTCCCTGTGGGCAGAGTACACAGACAATTGAAAAATCGCACCACTAGCCGTGTAAGAGTCGGTGCTACGGCTGCGGTATACTCAGCTGCTGTTTTGGAATATCTAACAGCCGAGGTAAGTTTTATCTAAATATGCAGCGGGAAAATCCACTGGAAGAATCCATAATCAGGTGTTTACCTTTCCATTTTGTTATCCATCATGCATGCTCATGAGTTTTGCTATGATTGCACGAAATTGTTTTGAGTGCTATCCAGTAACAAAAGGTAGAACTTCTTTGAGTATCGTTGAAATGATTGAAACCAAGGACAAAGTCACCCAGTCAAATTTCTTTTGCTGACGTAATTTAGGCATACTTTTTTATTATAGGGATAAAACATAAATAATTTTTCGCAGGTTGTTGAGTTGGCAGGAAACGCCAGTAAAGATTTTAAAGTTAAAAGAATCACCCCTCGTCATCTACAATTGGCCATTAGAGGAGATGAAGAATTGGACTGTCTAATCAAGGCTACTATTGCCGAAGCTGGTGTCATACCGCACATCCACAGACTGTTGGTCGACAAGACAGAAGCCGAACGCTGGCAGTCAGTATAAACAACCATCCTGAAAATTTAGATTTAAATGTTAGTAGTTAGGGTACCTATGTATGAATGTATGAATAATGTGGCTAAGCGCTGGTTAAATACACTCACTAAAATAATTAATTTCTTTAAGAAACATGTTTTTTAATAATTTTAACTTGATTTGTGATTTCAGTTTCGGTTTTTGTTAGTGCACAAACTAAACATTAGGTACATTGGTTTATGGAAAATTTCCTGTGTGCCTTGTATAATTTATAATTTGTATTTTGATAATTCAATTTAGACTTGATTTTTGATTAAAATGTAGAAATCTGGGTTCATTACAATAAAGATTTCCTATAAAATTGAAAATTATTTTTTCGCATTTTCTGGAATGCTTCACTTCCTAATAAAAAGTAGGCTTGAAAGTGCATTGCATCGAAATTGGAGATTATTGTTATCAAATTCCTTTCCTAGCTTATTTTTGATTGAAAACGGCATTAAAGACAACAAAGCAACCCAAATTCGTCTTAAAAGTACTTGTATGGCTTTTTTCTCGTAATAACTTACGTTGGATCGAAATTGGAGATTATTGACATCAAATTCCTTTCCTGGCGTATTTTTGATTGAAAACGGCATTAAAGACAGTAAAACAACCCAAATTCGTCTTAAAGGTACCGTAAATCGGGTGACTTGAGACGATTTTGACTTTCCGCACGCGATATTTTCGAAACTATTGCATCGGCCGCCAGTGTGTCAAGAATCCTGTGCATAGCAGATTCGAGATTTTACGTTGATGTTCGGGAACAAGGTCGAACGCGGTTCTTCTGGAAATTACAGGAATAAATTACGGCTATATACAGTGTGATTTTTTAAGTGTGCAACATATGGGGATTTTTTTTAGTAATAGCACAACCCAAATACAAACAAGACCAAAAGTTGGTTGTGATAATCATAGTAGGTGTACTTAGAATGGTTGCAAGTCAAACAGCATACAGGGTAGCTCAAACAATAATATCAAAGCTGTACTGTAAAGTACCCTTTTTTTTTAGAAAATTCAGCAAAATGTTATAGAGAAAAGTTGTTTGGAATTAAAAGTTATGCCTAAATACCAAAACATAGCCTCCTAAGATTTTTTTTTATTTTCTTTCGAAAAAAATCTATAATTTCTATATTTTTTTTATTTTTTATTTCCGCCCTTAATAATTTCAAAAATTAATTAAAATCGAATCAATTTTACATAGCTTTCTTCAAATTCAAGCATATTTGTAAAATTAGCTTAGATTTTTAATTTTTTATGGAATCACAAAATTCATGTTTGTTTCAATGATATTAACACAACTTTAAAATGTCGCATTTTTTAACAAGTTAAAACATTACTAATGATGATAGCCATATTAAAAAAACTCTCCTTAAAGTGCAAAAGTTTTATTTTATTTAAGTAAATACTAGTAGAATTTTGATATTTTTTGAGCCACCCTGTATGCTGTTTGACTCGCAACCATTCTAAGGGCCGATACTTTTGCTCTCGATTAACGAATTTGATACGTTGTCCAAGTTTGGCATGGTTCAAGGTCTATAAGTGTGATGTGGTTAGAGCACATTCTAAGCCCAGATTATTTTTAACGGCTGTCAAATGGGAGTAAAAGTACCGGCACTAAGTGCACCAAATATGATTATCAGACATGCACCAACTTTTGGCTTTGTTTTTATTTTGATTGTGCTATTACTAAAAAAAATCCCATATGTTGCACACTTAAGTAATGACACTGTATAAGGACGGGTTTTAGCTTGTAAGTTCAAGTTTCAGTTGATACGATTTAAAATAGTGATTATTGTTGTAAAGAGTTTAATTGTTGTGTTAGTTATTAAAGTAATTAGTGTCAGAGTGTATCGTTACGTGGAATTATTGCTGTGTTAATTGGACTTTGATTTTTGGAATAAACGAAACGAACCCAAGATTTTTGTCAGGCAATCAAAAGCCGTGACAATTGGTGTCAGAAGTGAGACATAAAGGACTGCAGAGTGAAATACAATTGCGGAAGTGCGGGGACACTAGTGTAGTGTAAAAACTGAACACTTAGTGAACTGAACTGAACACTGGGATAGTTATTCAGTGCAAACAGTGACAATCACAAAAAGAGACTTAACCGGTCATGTAAATTACTACGGAAGTGACTCTATAACCGATTTTGACTGTGATAGTGAATTTTCGAGTGAGTTCTAGAAAATTCTATATGGAAACTAAGGGAGATATCGAACTTGTGACTTCGCCGACGTATTAAAAACATCAATCGTCATTCAGAAGAAGTTTTTCGAGGAGTTTCGGGAAAATTCTAGAACATTCTATTTGGAAACCAAGGGAGATATCGAAATTGTGACTTCACCGACTTGTTTGCTTTATCAATCGACATCTAGAAAAGAAATTTCAAGAAAATTCCAGAACATTCTATTCTAGAATAAAGCAAGTTATCCAATTTGTGACTTCACTGGCGTGTTTGGAACTTTGAGCAAAGACCAGAAAATATATTTGAAGAAAGTTCGAGGGAAATTCTAGAACGTTCTGTATATGCCTATTGTCCAACAAATACCTTTTTAAAGTCACGTGATTTTTGTCTACCCTTGTTGAATACATTTAAACAGCGGTGATAGTAAAATTGACAAAAAAATTGCTGTCTAATTATTGTTCATAATATTCTTACCTGAAATAGAATCCGTCACTGCCATCAATTAGTTTGTCAAAGTTATTTTCGGAAATAATACAACGAACAAACACAGCTAATAATTTTGACTATATTAACCTTTTTCCAACTCGAAAAGAAGCAAATAGAAAACGGGTACTCAGTTTAAGTTCAGAATGTATTACAACAGACAGCAGATGCAACAAAAGTGAGTCTCGCAACAATTGCAAGTATTAAAATTGCCCTCTGATTGGTCAATACTACTTCAGAAACGCGTTTGTAAAATGCTAGTGGGAACATATATTAAAATTCAATAGTAATTAACCACCAGTAGCTTTTTGTAGGTGATATCAACGACATAATCAATGGACACACGTTTTTTGCCACCAGTATCACGTGACTTTAAAATGGTATTTGTCGGACTATATCACAAGACAACAAGCAAAAATGGACGAACAAAAAGTTGAGGAACTTCTGCGGAAATTTTTGGAACTTCAAGAGACCAAACGACAACAAGAAAAACAAGAAGACGAAGCTAGACGACAACAAGAAGAGGCCAGAAGACAACAAGAACGACAAGAAGACATCGGACAACTGCAGAAAATATTTCAAACCATACAAGGAACTGTCGCTAACCTAGACCAGAAGATTGAACAAGTTATTAAAGACGATGTGCAAGAAGTTAAACACGACGTTCAGGAAGTAAGAGCTATAAAGTCAAAACCGATGTTCAAGAAGTTAAAGACGATGTTCAGCAATTAAGACAAGAAGTTGAGGACCAAGTTCAAGCAGCTCAAGCACTTAAAGATAAGGTGAATAAATTAGAAATACAGTCCATTAATCCAGTCAGTGTTGGGGCATTCTCTGGTATGAAAATAAAACCACCAACTTTTGACGGTTCTACATCCTGGACCATGTATATCCGACAATTTGAAGCTGCTGCAAATACCAACGGATGGAACGACCAAGAAAAAGCTACAGCATTAATAGTGGCGCTACGAGGACCTGCCTTAGACCTTCTTCAGTCCATTCCTTTAGTCTACCAACAGAATTACCAGCATCTAAGCCAGACGTTAGAATTGCGCTTCGGATATCATTACAGGCAAGAAGTATTTAGAACTCAAGTCAAATCAAGAATTCAGAAACCCGGCGAGAGTTTACAAGAATTCGAATCAGAAGTTAAAAGGCTAGTGAGTTTGGCGTTTCCTGCAGCTGGGGAAGACATGCAAGAATGGTTGGCAGTATCTGTATTCATTGATGGTATCAGAGATTCCAAGATCCAGGAAAACCTAAGAATATCTAAGTTCAGATAAAGTAGCGAAGCCCTTGTGCGAGCATTAGAACTGGAAGCAATATTTGGTGCCTCACGACCCAGAAATACGAGTAGTGTCCATTGAGGACCCAAAAGAAAAACAATCATCAAGAGAGGATGGCAGTTTCGAGAACGTTATGAGAAGTTTCATGGAGAGAATGGAGAAACTGTTACTAGAAGATAGAAAAATGGGAAACGATTCCAGACAAACACAAACCCCGAGAAACCGAATAGAGTGCTACCGGTGTCATAAGCTTGGGCATATTCAACGAGATTGTAGAGTAAGGATGTCTTCTCCATTAAAGGATCGTTTCCAACGCTTTTCGAGATCGAGAGACGCCAGCCCTAATAACAGACAGGGAAACAAGAACTAACCAGTATGGAGGGGCGAATGCTGGTTAGTAATGACGAAGCCCGCAGGGTTGTGTACATAAAATCATTGGGCAGTCATTATAGAGGATTAAAATTCGAAGGACAAATTATTGGAGAATTGGAAACCATCACTTTTGATACGGGTGCTGAAGTTTCCATAATTAAAAGAACATTAGTCAAGTCTCGGGCAATCCAACCGCTCACTAGAAACCTGTCACAACGAACAGTCACGGGCGAATCTGCACCAGTTCAAGGAAAAGCTATGATTGAGCTTACTTTTGGATCTACCACCTTCAGGCACAGAACATTAGTCGCCGATATAGAAGATGATTTCATTATGGGAATGGATTTGATCGGCCAGCATGGTTTCTCTTTTGATCCTTCCATGAACATCCCTAAATTTGGTAATGAAGAAATTGTCCTAACAACACAAGAAGAATCCGATGCCGTTAAGATCTTGGCCACAACCCCAGTGAGGATTCCTGGAAGTACTGAGAAGATCATTTGCGGAAGATTAGAAACAAACCCTGGGTGCTGCGTTGGACTAACACGTAATTTAATTGGAGATAAACCAGAAAGATTTCTTGTTGGAAAGACTCTAGTAAGAACAAATGGGGACATTATGATAAGAATTACCAATGTTTCTTCCGAAACAGTAAGAATAAAAGGAGGCATTATTGGAACTCTCGAACCAGTTAAGCAAATATCGAACTCTGACCTACCAGAAAAGCGACATTTTGTGAAATCGAAATTGAATAGAGACATCTTGATGCAGACTTTGGCGAAATCATGGAAACATCTCGATCCAGATAGACTTCAAGTAGCCACAGATTTCATCTTGAAAGAAGCAGACGTATTTGTGATGG